GGAGGAGGAGGAGAGGAGGAGGAGGAGAGAGGGGGAGGGGGAGGAGGAGGAGGAGAGAAGAGAAGGAGGGGGAGGGGAGAGAGAGGAGGAGGAAGAGGGAGGAGGAGGAGGAGGAGGGGGAGGAGAGAGGGGGAGGAGGAGGAGAGAGGGGGAGGAGGGAGGAGGAGGAAGAGGAGGAGGAGGAGAGAGGGAGGAGAGAGAGGAGAGAGGGGGAGGAGAGGGAGGAGAGGAGGGGGAGGGGGAGGAGAGAGGGGAGGAGGGGGAGGAGAGAGGAGAGAGAGGAGGGAGGAGAGAGGAGGAGGAGAGGGAGGAGGAGGAGGAGAGAGAGGAGAGAGGGGGAGGAGGAGGAGGAGGAGGAGGAGGGAGGAGAGAGAGAGAGGAGGAGGAGGAGGAGGAGGAGAGAGAGGAGAGAGGGGGAGGAGGAGAGGGAGGAGAGAGAGGAGAGAAAAGAGAGGGGGAGGAGAGAGGAGGAGGAGGAGGAAGAGGGAGGAGAGAGAGGAGAGAGGAGGAGGAGGAGGAGGAGAGAGGAGAGAGGGAGGAGAGAGAGGAGGAGGAGGAGGGGGAGGAGGAGGGGGAGGAGAGGAGAGAGGGGGAGGAGGAGGAGGGGGGGAAGGAAGAGGGAGGAGAGGAGAGAGGAGGAGGAGGAGAGAGGGGGAGGAGGAGGAGAGGGAGGGGGAGGAGGAGAGGGAGGAGGAGGGGGAGGAGGAGGAAGAGGGAGGAGAGAGAGGAGGAGGAGGAGGGGGACAAGGAGAGAGGAGGAGGAGGAGGAGAGAGGAGGAGGAGGAGGAGGGGGAGGAGAGAGGGGGAGGAGGAGGAGGAGGAGGAGAGAGGAGGAGGAGAGAGGGGGAGGGGGAGGAGGAGGGGGAGGAGGAGAGAGGAGGAGGAGGAGAGAGGGGGAGGAGAGAGGGAGGGGGAGGAGGGAGGAGGAGAGAGGAGGAGGAGGAGAGAGAGAGAGGAGAGAGAGGGAGGAGAGAGGAGAGAGGGGGAGGGGGAGGAGAGAGGGGGAGGGAGGAGAGGAGGAGGAGAGAGGAGAGGGAGGAGGAGGAGAGAGAGGAGAGAGGGGGAGGAGGAGGAGGAGAGAGGAGGAGGAGGAGGAGGAAGAGGGAGGAGAGAGGGGGAGGAGGAGAGAGAGGAGAGAGGGGGAGGAGTGAGGAGAGAGAGGAGAGAGGGGGAGGAGGAGAGGGAGGAGGAGGGGGAGGAGGAGGAAGAGAGAGGAGGAGGGGGAGGAGGGAGGAGAGAGAGGAGGAGGAGGGAGAGAGAGGGAGGAGGAGGAGGAGGGGGAGGAGAGAGGAGAGGGAGGAGGAGGAGAGAGAGGAGGAGGGGGAGGAGGGAGGAGAGAGAGGAGGAGGAGGGGGAGAGAGGGAGGAGGGAGGAGGAGGGGGAGGAGAGAGAGGAGAGGGAGGAGGAGGAGAGAGAGGAGGAGGGGGAGGAGGGAGGAGGAGAGAGGGGGAGGGGGAGGAGAGAGAGGAGAGAAAAGAGAGGGGGAGGAGGGAGGAGGGAGGAGGAGGAGAGAGAGGAGAGAGGGGGAGGAGGAGAGAGGGGGAGGAGGGAGGGGGAGGAGAGGGGGAGGAGAGAGAGGAGAGAGGGGGAGGAGGAGGGGAGGAGGAGAGAGGGGGAGGAGGAGGGGAGGAGGAGGAGGGGGAGGAGGAGGGGAGGAGAGGGAGGAGAGAGAGGAGGAGGAGAGAGAGGAGAGAGGGGGAGGAGGAGGAGGAGGAGAGAGGAGGAGGAGAGAGGGGGAGGAGGAGGAGGAGGGGAGGAGGAGAGAGGGGGAGGAACAGGGGTAGGAGGATCTCCTCACCTGTCGACTCCTCCCAGTAAGGAGCAGAGTTCTGCACTCAGGACAGCAGGTAACATGTCGAACCTTCGGTCTGCGAGGTAGTAGGTGGTCGCTCTGAAAGAAGAGGGGGCGGGGTTAGTATAAACAACAACAGAGTGTGTGTGTGTGTGTGTGCAAACATGAAGGACGACACACACACACACACACACACACACACACACACACACACACACACACACACATAAATCCTTCAGCCTGAAGTCCAATAAAAGGTTCAGATCAAGAAACACAGACCAGAACAGAATCTCTGGACCACCTCAGAACCAGACCCATCAGAACCAACAGTAGGCCCCCTGAACCACAGCTGTTCTGGTTCTGATCCTCCGGACCTCTCTCCTGTTTTTAACATGTTCTCCTCTGTTCGGGTCGGAGCGGGTCGCTGAAGTCTTCTCCTCTCTCTGTAAACCCGCCTGTTTCGGCGCCTCCTCACCTGCTGCGCGCCTCCAGGTCCGTCAGCGACCCCTCTCTAACGAAGTGGGTGACGTCTGCGATGTGGACTCCCAGCTCCAGCAGCTTCCCTCCGGCGATACGGCGAACAGACAGCGTGTCGTCCACGTCCTCGCAGCCCTGCGGGTCGATGCTGAACACCAGGTGAGTCTCCCTGAGGTCTCGTCTCTGCGCCACCTGGTCGGGATCCATCGCCCACGGCTTCTCCGGAGAGTTCGGCGGCATCTCTCGCAGCTACGCGGACGACACAGAGACGAGGTTTTATACGAGGTCTGAAGAAGCAGCAGGAGCGACCGGAGTGAATTATTCATTCAGCTCTGGGCGGAGAACATCGAGCTCTGCTCCACCCGAGGACACGCTTCACAAAACAACAACAACAACAACAACAACAACAACAACAACAACAACAACAACAACAACAACAACAGGAGTCTGAGAGGAAGAGAGAGCGGGCATCTGATGATACAGAGAGGGAAAACACACACAGTTAACACACACACACACAGCTAACACACACACACACACACACACAGTTAACACACACACACACACAGTTAACACACACACACACAGTTAACACACACACACACACACAGTTAACACACACACACAGCTAACACACACACACAGTTAACACACACACACAGAGAAAACACACACAGTTAACACACACACAGTTAACACACACACACACACACACACTTGAGGCTGATGACTGAGATCCTGATCAGACTCTGACGGACTCTGAAGACCCTCCAGGACTGAAAAACAGGGTCAGGTTCTCAGGTTGTTGTTGTTCTGCTGCAGGCGAACGTGTTTCCTGTTTCCTCTTCATCACTAAAGGGGGCGGGGTCTTCAGCTTTATTTACATTATTATATTAATTATTATTATTCATTATATTATAATATCTGTAATCTGTCATTTAATGATGTTCAAGTGTCAGTTTACATTATTTACCTTTAAAACCACCAAAGAGTCCAACTGCTGATCTGGAGCCTCGTTGTCGTGGAAACGTTGAACATCAACTTTATTTATTTATTTATAAAAAGTGAAACGATCAAAGTTCTTCTTATTCTTGCAGTAAAATAAACAATAAAAAACAATAAAAACCATAAAAACAAATCAAATAAAGACAGCAGATAAATAAATAAATAAAAGGATCTTTTCTTCCCAAAGTGAACAGGCGGGTTTTAAAGCTACGACAGGAAACGTCTAAAACCACCTGATCAGCTGACCTCAGGGCTCTGAGCGCTGACGCAGTTTAACGAGGTCAGACGGAGATTTAACCTTTAACAGTGACCCCTGACCCCTGACGTCATACAGCGAGTCGTTTCCGCTCACCTGAGCGTCTGAGAAAGGGGGGACGTGGATGCAGTTCTCGATGAGGATGGTCTGGACCTCGGTCTCCAGCTCTCCGGCCCGACCCAAAACCCGAACGCTGTGACCGTTTGGATAAAGAGAGGAGATTTCCCATGAGTCAATGCGCACCACGACCCGGTGGTCCTGAGAGGAAACAGAGAATTAAGAATTAAGAGAGAGGTCCGCTTTACTCCAGTTTACTCCAGTTTAATCCGGTTTACTCTGGTTTACTCTGGTTTAATCCGGTTTACTCCGCTTTAATCCGGTTTACTCCAGTTTAATCCGGTTTACTCCAGTTTAATCCAGTTTACTCCAGTTTAATCCGGTTTACTCCGCTTTAATCCAGTTTACTCCAGTTTAATCCGGTTTACTCCAGTTTAATCCAGTTTACTCCAGTTTAATCCGGTTTACTCCGCTTTACTCCGGTTTAATCCGGTTTACTCCACTTTACTCCGGTTTACTCTGGTTTACTCTGGTTTACTCCAGTTTAATCCGGTTTACTCCAGTTTAATCCGGTTTACTCCACGTTACTCCGGTTTACTCTGGTTTACTCCAGTTTAATCCGGTTTACTCCAGTTTACTCTGGTTTACTCCGGTTTACTCCGGTACCGTGGGTCAGGATGGTTCCGGTTTCTTTTTTTAATTTATTTTAATTTCTTGTAAAAACATCTGAACCGAGTTTTCGATCCGTTGACCCGAGTATGAAGTTGTTCTGTCTGGGTTCTATTTATGTTCTAAAGTTAATATAAAGACCCAGGTCCGAAGGTGAACCGGGTCTGAAGGTGAACCGCACCTGCAGCGTGTCGGCCTGCTGAGTACTGATGCGGATCTTGGGGATCCGATGGTCCCAGGGTACCACCAGGATCCTCTGGGAGTTCCTGCTCTGAGACTGAGACCCGTCTCTGGGGGGGAAGGTGACCACGTAGTCCCTCCAGTTCCTCTGCAGGATCCCGACGACCCGACCTCAGACCGCAGAGACAGGAAGTGGAGTTAGAGACCGTTGTCATGGAAACGAGACCTTCAGAGGAGGTTCAGGTAAAGACTCACCCGTGGGTAAAGGTTGACTCTGGTTCTCCTCCACGCCGCCTTTCTCCTCCCCCTGACCTTCACTCAAACCCATCGCTCTTCCTCGCCACTCGCTCTTTGGTAACAACTCCACCACGACCACGTCGCCGTGCACCGCCCGGTTACGGTTCTTCACGCCAGAAATGAACACGCCCCCGCTGAGATCTGAGAGGAGGAGAAGAAGAGGAGGTGAGAGGATGAGGGGGGAGGACGAGGAGAGAGGATGAGGAGAGAGGATGAGGAGAGAGGGTGAGGAGAGAGGACGAGGAGAGAGGGTGAGAGGATGAGGAGAGAGGGTGAGGAGAGAGGACGAGGAGAGAGGATGAGGAGAGAGGACGAGGAGAGAGGGTGAGAGGACAAGGAGAGAGGATGAGGAGAGAGGATGAGGATGAGGAGGGAGGACGAGGAGAGAGGGTGAGGAGAGAGGACGAGGGGAGAGGGTGAGGAGAGAGGATGAGGATGAGGATGAGGAGAGAGGGTGAGGAGAGAGGATGAGGAGAGAGGGTGAGAGGATGAGGAGAGAGGACGAGAGGACGAGGAGAGAGGATGAGGAGAGAGGACAAGGAGAGAGGGTGAGGAGAGAGGGTGAGAGGGTGAGGAGAGAGGATGAGGAGAGAGGGTGAGAGGATGAGGAGAGAGGACAAGGAGAGAGGGTGAGGAGAGAGGGTGAGAGGATGAGGAGAGAGGATGAGGAGAGAGGGTGAGAGGATGAGGAGAGAGGATGAGGAGAGAGGGTGAGGAGAGAGGACGAGGAGAGAGGGTGAGGAGAGAGGGTGAGAGGATGAGGAGAGAGGACGAGGAGAGAGGGTGAGGAGAGAGGGTGAGAGGATGAGGAGAGAGGATGAGGAGAGAGGGTGAGGAGAGAGGGTGAGAGGATGAGGAGAGAGGATGAGGAGAGAGGGTGAGGAGAGAGGACGAGGAGAGAGGGTGAGGAGAGAGGGTGAGGAGAGAGGGTGAGGAGAGAGGGTGAGGAGAGAGGACAAGGAGAGAGGGTGAGAGGGTGAGGAGAGAGGATGAGGAGAGAGGGTGAGAGGATGAGGAGAGAGGACAAGGAGAGAGGGTGAGGAGAGAGGGTGAGAGGGTGAGAGGATGAGGAGAGAGGACCAGGAGAGAGGATGAGGTGAGAGGGTGAGGAGAGAGGGTGAGGAGAGATTCAGGTTCTCCTCTCTGACTTTGTCTCCACCTTTGTTCTTCTCAGACAGTCCCTCCGTCGCCGTGATGGACGCCTCGCTCTGAGCGCGGTGTTTGCTGACATTCAGAGCGCCCTGAAAAGGAGAGGAGGATCATGGGTAAATGGACCAGGACCATGTGACTGATTCTAGATTGAGGACGGCAGAGCTCAAAAACACCGACGTTCTTCAAAGTTCTTCTTCGGAGAACCTCCTGACGAACAAAAACACCTGAAACCGAGTTCAAGTTCTGACCGCTGAGATCTTCTCTGACCCGGTTCTGTAACTCCACGAACCTCTGCGGCTCTTCAGGACTTCAGACAGGTACAGGGACCGGTACTCTACCTTGATGTAGCGTCCAGACTTGATCCCGGCCTCCAGAACCTCAGCGGGCAGATGTTCGCTGAACTCTTTCTGTGAGTTCTCGCTCTCCTTCTTCTCCTGAAGAACCTGAGAGATGGAGCTGTACAGATCATGAGCCGCCTGCAGGTCCGGCCAGAAGTTCAGCAGAAAGTCCTGAAAGGAAGAAAAAACAGGTTTTGGGTCAGGTGACTTCAGACCCGGATCCTGTTACTAAGTTCTAAACTCTGTGAAGATGAAGGTCCGGGTGTGAGGAGCTCCAGGAGGTTCAGGAGCTTCAGGAGGTCTACCTGGACAGAGATGACGTAGACTCCAGAGTTCAGACTGCTGTACCGAGAGACCGTCTCCTGATCCTCCGTGATCATCACCACGTCCATCAGACCCGCCAGGTGGTTCCGGTACCAAACTGCTGCAGAGTACACACACCTGAACACACACACACACACACACACACACACACACACACACACAGTATCAGTATGAACAACGATGAGATTATAGATTATAGATTATGTCATATATATAATATTATAATGTCATATAATGATCGTCTATGTGGAGGTTCTGCAGAACCGACCGGGTCTGCCACTCCTCCAGACTCTCGCCCCTCTCTCTCTGGACGTAGGAAAACTCCTGAAACTCGTTGGCGAAGAGCACGCAGTCATGGCGAGGGTCTTTGAGGAGACCCCTCAGTCGGTTATACTGCCTGTCCACAGAAACACAGAAACAGAACCGGGTCAGAGTTCAGCCTGAACAGCAGAACTGTAAACTCCTTCAGTGTTTTATTTAATATTAATCTACGTTTGTTGTTCTGTTGAGTTTAAATGTTTTTTCTTTATTTACTTTATAAGTTAATTAAATCTTGACCTGATCTCTCGTTTCTTCAGTTTTTAGTTCAGATGTTATAAAACTGACATTTAAAAAAAAATCGTGATAATAATCGTGATCGGACAATATGACAAAACACATCGTTATCTTTTTTTGCTGAATCGCCCAGACCTAACCCACACCTAAATGAACTGAAGCCTCATCAAAACAAACACACTTAAAAAAAACACACTTAAAAAAATACACTTAAAAAAAACACACTTAAAAAAATACACTTAAAAAATACACTTAAAAAACACACTTAAAAAATACACTTAAAAAAAACACACTTAAAAAAATACACTTAAAAAATACACTTAAAAAAACACACTTAAAAAAACACACTTAAAAAAAACACACTTAAAAAAAACACACTTAAAAAAATACACTAAAAAAACACTTAAAAAAATACACTTAAAAAAACACACTTAAAAAAAACACTAAAAAAACACTTAAAAAAATACACTTAGTAAAAACACTTGAAAAAAATACACTAAAAAAATACACTTAAAAAAACACTTAAAAAAATACACTTAAAAAAAACACTTAAAAAAAACACACTTAAAAAAATACACTTAAAAAAAACACACTTAAAAAAAACACACTTAAAAAAATACACTAAAAAAACACTTAAAAAAATACACTTAAAAAAAATACATTTAAAAAAAACACACTTGAAAAAAAATACACTTAAAAAAAACACACTTAAAAAAAACACCAGCTGTTAAAAACAGGGGGATGTGTGTGTTCATGGATGTGTGTGTTCATGGATGTGTGTGTGGTGTTCATGTTCGAGGTCGTACCTGCGACCTTTGGCGTGCTGCACAGCCTGACAGGCGGTCTGCGTGAACACGACGCCCTGCAGCTCTCTGAACTCCAGGATCTCCAGATAATCCACTACCACGCCAACATCAGGAACCACGTAGTGGGTCAGGTCAGCTGGAAGAACTTTACCATCTGGAGGAGAGACACGAAGACTTGAGTTCTGCTGCTGGTCCATCAGAACTTCACCGTACCTCCGGGTCACGACAACAAGCTCCACGCTAATCACTTCAGTTATTTACTTTCTATGGATCCCTGTGTGTGTGTGTGTGTGTGTGTGTCTGTGTGTGTTACAGCTCTTCTTGTGTAGACGTGTCTGTATTTCACTGCTGATGTTCAGTAAAAAAAAATTTTTCTGATCGTCTTCGTCAGAAACTTTCCGCTTTTTCTCCTTTATTATTTTTGAAACTTTGACCTTTGAGGAGGCGCCATTTTCGCTGGGAGGGCGGAGTTACAACCTGCGGGTAACAGGCTGAAATAAACCATCAATGATTCACCAGAGAAACCAGCGTCACACACGGACTACATGAGGTAAAGAGTCCAGTATGTGGGCTCTGAAGGGAAAACCTGGATCTGAGGGTCGGTAGTGGATTCTATCCTTGTCAGCGCTGAGTGGATCGGTACCACAGAGTCAACACGCCGTCCTCCAACTTAAACAACGAGGTGACAGCTCCCTCTGCAGCCAGACGACCGCACTACAACCAGAACACAACTACAACTACAGGCATCCAGAGGGCGCTGTTGATTTACTTTAGGGTGGAAGTGTATCCAGATGTAACTTTAGAGGGACATCCAGAGCACAGACACTGACTCCATACTCACAGGTAGGACATCCAGAGCACAGACACTGACTCTATACTCACAGGTAGGACATCCAGAGCACAGACACTGACTCCATACTCTCAGGTAGGACATCCAGAGCACAGACACTGACTCCATACTCACAGGTAGGACATCCAGAGCACAGACACTGACTTCATACTCACAGGTAGGACATCCAGAGCACTGACACTGACTCCATACTCACAGGTAGGACATCCAGAGCACACATGTTTACTCATAAACACATTTCCATTGTTGTATCTCTTGGCGGGACTGTATGTGTGTGTGTGTCTGTGTGTGTGTGTGTGTGTGTGTGTGTGTGTGTGTGTGTGTATGTGTATGTGTGTGTGTGTGTGTGTGTGTGTGTGTGTGTGTGTGTGGTGGGGGGCTGTGGACCCCCTGCCCCCCTCCCTGAGAACACCCCTGTCTCTAACAGAGCTGAACTGGAGCAGCGGTCCGGTCCGGTCCGGTCCGGTCTGTTGTTGTTGTTGGCTTTAGTCTAAAGTTCTTGTGTTTGTATTTGTTGTAAATGTTCTGACCCGGTGTCGGTTCGGTTCTGAGCGGACTCACCGTTCTCACAGTCCGCCTGACACAGCGCGCTGTAGCACGGAACCTTCTCTCTCAGGTAATGTTCCCGAACCACCCGGACCTTCCGGCCTCTGCAGCTCTTCAGGTGAAGGATCTTCTCCGTCTTTATCATCCTACTGGATCAGAACCTCGATCCATTTATCCGAAAAACGAGGTTGAAGTTTCAGCTGAGCTCCAGGGCGGGAAGAACCTTCAGCTGTAAACAGACCCGCTGAAGTTTAGGGAAGTACGTGAACCAAAGCCCGCCCTGCGTCATGACGTCACAGCCATGGCGCATTCAAGGACAAAACGAAACAAACTAAATATCAAAACTAAACCGTGAACCCAGAATTAGAGAAAAACAGAATCAGAGAAAAACAGAATCAGAGAAATCAGAACCATAATTCCCTTTTTTATTATCATAATACTGGAGAACAGTGAGGTTGGAGAAATTCTCCATTTTCAGAAGTAAAAAAAGAAGAAGAGAAAAGCAGAAATGGAATTAAAATTACAATAAAGAATATAAAATACAAAATATATACAAGTTAAAAATTCTTTATGGACAGGAAGGTAAATAAATGTTGAAAATTCTGTGGCGCTATAGCTAATAAATGTAAATGTATAAGGCACTGAGACAGTGAAATAAAGAATATATAAGAATAATTAATAATATAATATAATTATAATTAATAATAATTAACATTCTGAAACTTGATGAAGATCACTGCTCAGGGATAGTTTGGACACCTTTTTTTCATTCTTTTTTATTGGCAGCAGTGGCAGTTCTCGGCCACCGTACAAACACAGTGTCAAAAACATGAACTCTGGTTTCTGTCAAACCACCTTAAAGTCAAAGACTCGGTGTGTCGGAGGGAGTCCTCCTGTAGGTCCGCTGCTGCTCTCTCTCTCTCTCTCTCTCTCTCTCTCTCTCTCTCTCTCTCTCTCTCTCTCTCTCTCTCTCTCTCTCTCTCTCTCCCTCTCTCTCTCTCTCTCTCTCTCTCTCTCTCTCTCTCTCTGTCGGAGCTGCAGCAGCAGCAGTATCAGTCTGAGGGTCCACGGACACACACGGACACTGCTGCTGCTGCTGCTGCTGAGGACTTTACTCTCGTGTTTCCGCATCTTCATCTCTTTTATTCCGTTTTTTTATTCCGTCTTTTATTCCTTTTTTGTTCCCTTCCCTCTCCTGGAAATCGACTTTAAGCTCGTCTGTATTTTTATGAACAGTCTGAGAAAATTCACTTTATTGAGAAGTCTTCTCTCCTGCAGGTAAGCTCTGAAAACAACATGATGTTTTTTAAGATGAATTTTCTGTTTCTCTTTTTTAAACAGTTTGATTTCCTAATTATTTGTAAATGTTCCTCTTGCACAGCTGTGTGTTTTAATCTGATTTTTGGCTCTTTTACAGACTTCTCTGTTCAGATTGTTTACAGGATTATAATCAATAATAATCTGCATATAAACTGATGTGTGTGATCAATAATGATTATGTGCAGACATCTGTATTTGTGCTTCAGTCTTTGTTGTTTGACTTTTATTGAGACTTTTGAGGAATCTTGAATTTACATGAATCGACACGATGACTGTCTGTGTTTGAAGGAGACTCTCCACTTTCTGTTTCTCTGCTGTTATTCTGGGGTGTCCGCTCGTTTACTGAAGGGTGACTCTGTTTTCAGTCTCTTTATTTGGCTGAATACAGCCCTCAGCTCCCACAGATAGACTGTATATAGACTGTATACAGACCATATATAGACTGTATACAGACCGTATATAGACCATATACAGCCCTCTGCTCTGCCGGTTAGTTGCAGTTAGAGCGTCTGGACCGGGCAGGATCAGGAGGTTCTGGTGATACTGAGATGGGTCCGGATGATCAGTGCTGTTGTGGTTTTCCCATTGAGTTCCAGTCTGTCAGCACTAGATGGCGACATCGAGCAGGAAACATGTTTGAGGAGCTGCTGAGTGTTGAAGAAAATTCAAGACGAGAGTCGAATAAAAAGATCAGAATAATCAGGGAGGAGGATGTGAACCCTGAAGTCAAAGAAAGAGAGGGAGAGAGAGAGAGAGAGAGAGAGAGAGAGAGAGAGAGAGAGAGAGAGAGAGAGAGAGAGAGAGAGAGAGAGAGAGAGAGAGAGAGAGAGAGAGAGAGAGAGAGAGAGAGAGAGAGAGAGAGAGAGAGAGAGCGAGAGAGAGAGAGAGAGAGAGAGAGAGAGAGAGAGAGAGCGAGAGCAAGAGCTGCCCTGCTCTCCGTGTCACTGAGTTATTTGTCACAAATGTTTCCTGGCAATAACAGTAATGCAGTTTTTGACGACTCTGGAGCTCTCACTTTAATTAAAGCAGCTTTACTTTGGGAGACGAGGAGGATGAGGAGGATGAGGATGAAGATGAGGATGAAGATGAGGATGAGGATGAAGATGAGGATGAAGATGAGGAGGATGAGGATGATGATGAGGAGGATGAGGATGAAGATGAAGATGAAGATGAGGATGAAGATGAGGATGAGGATGATGATGAGGATGAGGATGAAGATGAGGATGAAGATGAGGATGATGATGAGGATGAAGATGAGGATGATGTTGATGAGGATGATGATGAGGATGAGGATGATGATGAGGATGAGGAGGATGATGATGAGGATGATGATGAGGATGAAGATGAGGATGAGGATGATGATGAGGATGATGAGGAGGATGAAGATGAGGATGAAGATGACGATGATGAAGATGAGGATGATGATGAGGATGATGATGATGATGATGATGATGATGATGAGGATGAAGATGAGGATGATGATGAGGATGAAGATGAAGATGAGGATGATCAAGATGAGGATGAGGATGAAGATGAGGATGATGATTAGGATGATGAGGAGGATGAAGATGAGGATGAGGATGAAGATGACGATGATGAAGATGACGATGATGATGATGATGAGGATGAAGATGAGGATGATGATGATGATGATGAGGATGAGGATGAAGATGAGGATGATGATGAGGATGAAGATGAGGATGATGATGAGGATGATGAGGAGGATGAAGATGAGGATGAGGATGAAGATGACGATGATGATGATGAAGATGATGATGAGGATGAAGATGAGGATTATGATGAGGATGATGAGGATGATGATGAGGATGAGGATGAGGATAAAGATGAGGATGATGATGAGGATGAGGATGAGGAGGATGATGAGGATGAAGATGAGGATGATGATGAGGATGAGGATGAAGATGAGGATGAAGATGAGGATGATGATGAGGATGAAGATGAGGATGATGATGAGGATGAGGATGAGGATGATGATGATGATGAGGATGAAGATGAGGATGAGGATGAGGCGGATGATGATGATGAAGATGATGATGAGGATGAAGATGAGGATTATGATGAGGATGATGAGGATGATGATGAGGATGATGATGAGGATGAGGATGAAGATGAGGATGATGATGAGGATGAAGATGAGGATGATGATGAGGATGATGAGGATGATGATGAGGATGATGAGGATGATGATGAGGATGATGATGAGGATGAGGATGATGATGAGGATGAAGATGAGGATGAGGATGAGGATGAAGATAAGGATGAAGATGAGGATGATGAGGATGAGGATGAAGATGAGGATGAAGATGATGATGAGGATGAGGATGAGGATGAAGATGAGGATGATGATGAGGATGAGGATGAAGATGAGGATGAAGATGAGGATGATGATGAGGATGAAGATGAGGATGATGTTGATGAGGATGATGATGAGGATGAGGATGATGATGAGGATGAGGAGGATGATGATGAGGATGATGATGAGGATGAAGATGAGGATGAGGATGAGGATGATGATGAGGATGAGGATGAGGATGATGATGAGGATGAAGATGAGGATGAGGATGAGGAGGATGATGAGGATGAAGATGAGGATGAGGATGATGATGAGGATGATGATGAGGAGCAGAGAGAGAGAGGGACTTCATGAATTTAGGTCAAATATCAGACAAACAGAGACTCGGATCTGAGTCTGGATCCCTGGAGTCCAGGATGAATGGATGACCTTCATGCATGAGTAAACTGAGTAGATGGATGAACACATGAGGTCTGCAGACACTGCAGGCAGGTTCATGTGGTCCTGAAGGTCCATGAAGGGGGTGAACAGAAGATCGATGAAGGATGACTGCTGCTGAATCTGATCACAATTATTATCAATATTCAATAATTATTCAAGACTATGAACCAGAATTACACAACCCAGTCACAGCTACACAACTACAAAACTACAAAACTCATAAAACTACAAAACAACAAAACTCATAAAACTACAAAAATACAAAACTCATAAAACTACAAAACTAAAAAAAAACTACAAAAAAACTACAAAAACTACAAAACTACAAAACTCATAAAACTACAAAACTAAAAAACTACAAAACTACAAAAAACTACAAAACTACAAACTACAGAACTCATAAAAACTTAAAAACTCCTCTCTCCTCCTCCTCTCCTCTCTCCTCCTCCTCGCTCTCTCAGGTAGTCGATGATGTTTGCTCTCACACTGTTTGTCATTCCTCCGACACGTTAAATCAGACTTTTCATTTCCTTTCCCATTTCTCTCCTTTTCATATTCATGCTCCTGCGTCTCCTCCGTCTCCTTCTCTTCTTCTTCTTCTTCTTCTCCTCCTTCTGTGGGGAAAAATTGCAGCCCGCGGCCGTCAGTGTTTGCAGAAGAAAAATGACTCTGGGAGGAAAATAGATATTTTACTGAGAATGGTCTGATGAGGAATCCAAAGTGGGCTGTGATTGGTTTTTACCTCCTTTGTACCGTCAGCTGTGAGAAAGTTTGGATCAGAACTTTTCTCTCGGCTCGATGTCACACCGACCCGTCCTCAGAGCGGGCCGATGTGGTCAAAGATTGATCTGATCGGTCAAAGATTGATCTGATGTGGTCAAAGATTGATCTGATCGGTCAAAGATTGATCTCTGCAGACGTCTGTGTTTCTGGTCTGCTGAACCTTTTCATGGGGGAATCCTGCACATGTTCACGGATCAATACGTCTGATCGGTGTTGATAAACGGAGGAGCGCCGCCTGTTCAAGAACAACATCGGAGTTCAGCGCCTGGAGCGGCGTGTCTGACGTGTCTTTGTCTTTTATTGGTGCTTCAGTGAAGCAGACAGCAGCAGGTTATTCTTCAAAGTTTAGATCAAATCAGCAGAACCAGAACTGGACCAGAACTGGACCAGAACTGGACCAGAACTGGACCAGATCTGGACCAGATCTGTTCTGGTCTGAGCATGTGCAGAGGCGTGAGACGTCACCATGAAAGTGTCTGTAGACCGTAAACAAAGTTCAGAGGAAGAACAGACTGACTTTGTGTTTGTGAAGAAACGAAGAACTGAGAGACTGAGTGAGGAGATTTAAGCTCCGCCCCCTCTCTCAGGACCAGGTGATGGCGAACGGCTGTGATGAGATTCAAACCGCTCGAAAGGAAAGAAACCATTAAGGCCAGCAGCCGACGGCTGTTTGAGTTTTATTCAACCTGCAACAAAGACAGACGAAGAGACGAAGAAAGGAGGAGGAGGAAGAGAGGAGGAGAGGAGGAGGAGAGGAGGAAGAGAGGAGGAAGAGAGGAGGAAGAGAGGAAGAAAGGAGGAGGAGAGGAGGAAGAGAGGAGGAAGAGAGGAAGAAAAGGTGAAAGAGAGGAGAGGAGGAGCTGCAGAGAGGACCTAAGAGTGCTGATGGAGGAGGAGGAGGGTGACCACTAAAGAACATCATGAATGATCTCCTCAGGGGAAATGGACGAGCGACATACACTAAACAAGGGGGGAGAGAGGGAGAGAGAGAGAGAGAGAGAGAGAGAGAGACAGAGAGAGAGAGGGAGAGAGAGAGAGAGGGAGGGAGAGAGAGAGAGAGAGAGAGAGAGAGAGAGAGAGAGAGAGAGAGTGAGAGAGAGGGAGAGAGAGAAAGAGAGAGAGAGAGAGAAGAGACAGAGAGAGAAAGAGAGAGAAGAGAGAGAGACAAAAAGAGAGAGAGAGAGAGGGAGGGAGAGAGAGAGAGAGAGAGAGAGAGAGACAGAGAGAGAGAGAGAGAGAGAGACAGAGAGAGAGAGAGAGTGAACTCTGCAGCAGTTTGATTCATTCAGGTGTGAACAGGTGAAAAAACTTTATAGAAAAAGTTTATAGAAAAATTTAAGTTCTGATGGCGAGGAGGACGATATATATTATATTTATACATATATATATAATATACCTATATATGTATATTATATATATATGTATATATATATATATATATACATATATATATAATATATATGTATATTATATATATATAATATACGTATATATACATATATATATACATATATATATACCGTATAATGTATATATATATATATATATATATACATGTATATACATACACACACATATTCTGGATCTAATGATTTATAAACTAAATCAGAAAATAATCTTTTTCTTCCTGTGAGGAAATGACTTTAAAACTAAATTTCCTTTCCTGAATGTTAAAGTTCCTCCTGTGGTCCTGATCCTCCATCATAAGGTCTAATATGTGGACCTGCAGAGGTCCAGGTGGTCTCTGGAGAATCATGGATCTGTGGAGTTTATGGTTGGACAGCTGTCGGTCTCACAGAGCGAGTGGATTTGATGTTAATGTTGGAAACACGATGATATCAGGTTGTTGGTTTCGATCGCTCTCGTTTTGATTCGACTCCCTGACAGGAAAAGGTCAGTGAAGTTCGGTTCTGAACGAGCTCTGATCTGGACCTGGTTCCTGGTTCTCATCTGTTGTTGCGTAAACAGAATATTTGATGATCTTGTTCTGTGAACAGTTTTAAAAAAGGCGGAAACTTGAAATGAAGTCGTTATGAAACCGGTGCTGAAGCAAATCTGCTGCAGGAACCTCTGAGGAACTCTGCAGGTCCTCCATGAAACCCTGGCACCTTCATTGACCCCCTAAAGGTCCAGATCACAGAAGCACATGTTTCAGGTGTTTGGTCCCAGGTGAACTTTCCTGACTGTAAATGTTGTTGTAGAGTCTGAGCTGTAGAGCAGAAGAGAGTGAAGCAGCAGCAGCTCGTCTTAAATCACCTTTAATGAGTTTCTCTGAGTTTATTTGTCTGTCAGCTGTCGGAGCTCAGACTCAAACCACCAACCCCTGATCCTGCTGCTGCTGCTGCTGCTGCTGCTGCTGCTGCTGCGCTCGGCTGGACTCCCTTTAATCCTCCTCCCTCATGTTCTCAGCTCTCAGAACCCGTTAGCTTAACGCCGACAACGTCATCTGAGGAGGAAGAGGAAGGAAACGCTCAGGCGGCGAGTGTTTTCTGTCTTCATGCCACAGGCTCGTCTCAGTGCAGAGGGTGAGCAGAGTCTCATGGACAGTCCTCATCATCATCATCATCATCATCATCATCATCATCATCATCACTTCTCATGAGGACATAATAATGAGGAGGAGGAGGAGGACTGTCTGTCTGCAGGCTCTCATGTTCACTGAAATCCAAACCTCTGACTTCATGACCGGCTGTTTTCAATCTCATCACCTTCATCACCTTCATCACCTTCATCATCCTCATCACCTTCATCACCTTCATCACCTTCATCACCTTCATCACCCTCATCACCTTCATCACCTTCATCATCCTCATCACCTTCATCACCTTCATCACCTTCATCACCCTCATCACCCTCATCACCTTCATCACCCTCATCACCTTCATCATCCTCGTCATCTTCATCATCCTCATAACCCTCATCGCCTTCATCATCCTTGTCACCTTCATCACCTTCATCATCCTCGTCACCTTCATCACCTTCATCATCCTTCACCTTCATCATCCTCATCACCCTCATCACCTTCATCATCCTCATCACCTTCATCACCCTCATCACCTTCATCACCTTCATCACCTTCATCACCTTCATCACCCTCATCACCTTCATCATCCTCGTCACCTTCATCACCCTCATCACCCTCATCACCTTCATCACCTTCATCATCCTTCACCTTCATCATCCTCGTCACCTTCATCACCTTCGTCACCCTCATCGCCTCATCACCTTCATCACCTTCGTCACCCTCATCGCCTCATCACCTTCATCACCTTCATCATCCTTCACCTTCATCATCCTCGTCACCTTCATCACCTTCGTCACCCTCATCACCTTCTTCACCTTTCGTCACCTTCATCATCCTCGTCACCTTCATCACCCTCATCACCTTCATCATCCTCGTCACCTTCATCACCTTCATCACCTTCATCATCCTCGTCACCTTCATCATCCTCGTCACCTTCATCACCTTCGTCACCCTCATTGCCTTATCACCTTCATCACCTTCGTCACCCTCATCACCTTCATCACCTTCGTCACCCTCATCGCCTCATCACCTTCATCACCCTCATCACCTTCATCACCCTCGTCACCTTCATCACCTTCATCACCCTCATCACCTTCGTCACCTTCATCATCCTCGTCACCCTCATCACCTTCGTCACCCTCATCACCCTCATCACCTTCTTCACCTTCGTCACCTTCATCATCCTCGTCACCCTCATCGCCCTCATCACCTTCATCATCCTCGTCACCTTCATCACTTTCATCACCCTCATCACCCTCATCACCCTCATCACCCTCAGGTTCTCAGCCTCGCTCTCGCTCTGACCTTCAGTCTGATGAAGGTCGGTCGCCGGTTGCTGCGGCGCTCTCCTTCATGTTCTCTGATGTGAATGCCAAAGCTGATATCTGAGGGAACGTTGGAGATAAATCTGCTTCCTCAGACTTTAATGTTGGCGGAGCTGCTGCTCCAACAACATACTAATGATGAGTGACGGTCCTCAGAGGATCAGGACTCTGCAGGATCTGGACCTGTTTAATCGGGAGAGGAGGTTCTGCTCGCCTTAAAGGGACAGAGAGGATTCTGAAACACGTTCAACACGTTTTTCTTCAGTTTATCAGACAAGAATTACAAATGAACCTGTTTCAATAATCAATAAAGCCTCTTTAGTTTGACTTTACCCCCAAATTCATGGTTTTCATGCAGGTCCAGGTCCAAAATTAAATCAAGGCATTAAAGTGAGAAAATACCCTGAAGCGTAAAATAACAATCACACCTGGGCTAACAGAGTCGTCTGACTCCAAAGAAAGAAATTATTTTAGTCTAAAAAATTAAAAACAATCCATTTAAGTGCAGATGTGTTTAAAACCGGAGCCCAAGTTTGGATCTAAGTCAGTATGTGAGCATGTTTAAATAATCCGTCCATCACTGTCCGAATCATAAATAATCATGTTAATCTGATTTAATCCGGATTTAAAGACAACAAAAACATGTTAATCTGATTTAAACTGGATTAAAAAACAGCAAAAACATGTTAATCTGATTTAATCCGAATTTAAAAACAACAAAAACATGTTAATCTGATTTAATCCGAATTTAAAAACAACAAAAACATGTTAATCTGATTTAAACTGGATTAAAAAACAACAAAAACATGTTAATCTGATTTAATCCGAATTTAAAAACAACAAAAACATGTTAATCTGATTTAATCCAAATTTAAAAACAACAAAAACATGTTAATCTGATTTAAACTGGATTAAAAAACAACAAAAACATGTTAATCTGATTCAAACTGGATTAAAAAACAACAAAAACATGTTAATCTGATTTAAACCGAATTTAAAAACAACAAAAACATGTTAATCTGATTTAAACTGGATTAAAAAACAACAAAAACATGTTAATCTGATTTAAACCGAATTTAAAAACAACAAAAACATGTTATTCTGATTTAAACTGACTTAAAAAAACAACAAAAACATGTTAATCTGATTCAAACTGGATTAAAAAACAACAAAAACATGTTAATCTGATTTAAACCGAATTTAAAAACAACAAAAACATGTTAATCTGATTTAAACTGGATTAAAAAACAACAAAAACATGTTAATCTGATTTAAACCGAATTTAAAAACAACAAAAACATGTTATTCTGATTTAAACTGACTTAAAAAAACAACAAAAACATGTTAATCTGATTTAAACCGAATTTAAAAACAACAAAAACATGTTAATCTGATTAAAACTGGATTAAAAAACAACAAAAACATGTTAATCTGATTTAAACTGGATTAAAAAACAACAAAAACATGTTAATCTGAGTTAAACTGGATTAAAAAACAACAAAAACATGTTAATCTGATTTAAACCGAATTTAAAAACAACAAAAACATGTTAATCTGATTTAAACTGGATTAAAAAACAACAAAAACATGTTAATCTGATTTAAACTGGATTAAAAAACAACAAAAACATGTTAATCTGATTTAAACCGAATTTAAAAACAACAAAAACATGTTAATCTGATTTAAACCGAATTTAAAAACAACAAAAACATGTTAATCTGAGTTAAACTGGATTAAAAAACAACAAAAACATGTTAATCTGATTTAAACCGAATTTAAAAACAACAAAAAAATGTTAATCTGATTTAAACTGGATTAAAAAACAACAAAAACATGTTAATCTGATTTAAACCAAATTTAAAAACAACAAAAACATGTTAATCTGATTTAAACCGAATTTAAAAACAACAAAAACATGTTAATCTGATTTAAACTGGATTAAAAAACAACAAAAACATGTTAATCTGATTTAATCCAAATTTAAAAACAATAAAAACATGTTAATCTGATTTAAACCTGACTTAAAAACAACAAAAACATGTTAATCTGATTTAAACTGAATTTAAAAACAACAAAAACATGTTAATCTGAGTTAAACTGGACTTTTAAATCTGTGTGTCATCTGTAAACCTCATTATTGGTAACAGACTGAACTATCCTGACTGAAACTGACTCTCAGATTTGAAGTGATGAGCACACTGAGGGCTGATGCTGTTACCTGTCTACACAGGTGGGTCAGGGTCTCCTTCACCATGGCCTTTACCGGTGATGGACTCTGATCCAGACTCTGATCACCGGGGTCAGCCTGGGTCTGGTCGGCGGGCTCCAGTCTGTGTCCTCGGGTTGGAAACTCACCGTTTGGTGACGTTGATAATGATATCTGTTAAACCTGACATGATAATAAAATGTGACGGGCCTCTTCTTATCCGATGATCTCATCAAACTTCAGCAGGTGTGAAAACCTGGACCTGGATCTGTCTCACAGGTTTTCTGATGTTTGACCCTCAGATCTAAGAACCTGGACCTGCTGGACCTCCCCCCCAGTTTAGAGTCCAAAGATCAGATTTATTGAAGCATGCCTCTGGAGAAGCTGATCCAGTTTTGATGGAGGTTCTGGATCCAGATCTGATGATTTAAAAACTTTATTCTGTTCAGAGGAAACTTCTCCTCCTCCTGCTCTCAGCTCCAACGTGCTGATTAACCCTTTTAGAGATGAATCCAGAGAAGCTTTAAAATCATCTGGATTTTTCTGTCTTTGTTAGCGTCTCCTCGCTCTGACACAAACAGCTCTATAGATCTGGATCAGTTTTTGTCGTCGTCTTTATAATAAAGATAGATAATAAAAGATCTATTGTTCCTCCTGCCATTCAGATCCAGCTTCTGTGTATGAAATTCAATAGTTCTGACCTTAATATATGTTCCCAGTGAGCTCTTTATGAACGCATACAACGCTGCAGCCGAGCCGTTCTTCAGACGAACAAAAGAACCTGCAGCCTGTATGAAGACAACAGGAGAAAACACTATATTATATTATGTTATATTATATTATGATGTTTTACATTATATTGTATTATATTATATTATATTATATTATAATGTTTTATATTATATTATATTATATTATAATGTTTTACATTATATTATATTATATTATATTATTATGTTTTACATTATATTATATTATATCATATTATATTATATTATATTATATTATATTATATTATAATGTTTTACATTATATTATATTATATTATATTATTATGTTTTACATTATATTGTATTATATTATATTATATTATATTATATTATATTATAATGTTTTACATTATATTGTATCATATTATATTATATTATATTATATTATTATGTTTTACATTATATTATATTATATTATATTATATTATGTTAAATTCTAGTCTGTTCTATTAAATTAAATTAAATTACATGTATTTTTAGTTATATACTCATATAGACTTGATAACCGGATGTGATCCCTCTTGTCTGACTGTTTCATGTTGTTTATAACTCGGCTCTGTCGTGTTCAGATCTCAGGGTCGGGGGTCGGGGGTCGGGGGTCAGAGTTGAGTTTTCTTCTGTGTGAAAATCACTTTGTGTTACAGCATCATATGACACATGTGATACAATCAAAGATTGATAATTGATCAATAGTGCACGCTCTCTGACCTGTGCACACTCAGAGCTGCCTGGTCTGTTGGGGGGCTCTGTTCCTCCCCCGTTCCTCCCTCGTTCCTCCCTCGTTCCTCCCCCGTTCCTCCCTCGTTCCTCCCTCGTTCCTCCCCCGGTCTCCTTCTCCTTTACAGCTCTGACATCTTTCGTTTTTACGTGTCTCTTTAAAACTCTCTGAGGATTTAATGTTTCTGAGGAGAAACTCTGTGTCCTTCATGATTTTAAGACTTTTTTATCACTTTCTTCAAACTCACTCTGAGGGGAACACCAGCCCACCACAGCTGAGCCTCAGGTTCTGATCCGGAAGCTCATGAACTCCATCCACCTTATTATGAAACTTTAACATTTTTCACCTGAAACAGGACTGGTTCTGTTCTGCTCAGGATGAGCTTCAGCTGTCCGACCCGGTTCTGTTCTGTTCAGGATGAGCTTCAGCTGTCAGAACCACCTCCCATCAGTACCGTCCCAGTTTCCCAGTAAAGTCCGTCTTCGCTCTCGTTCACGCTCACATTAATCATCATTGACAGAAACACGTTCACTGTAGCTCCACTAGGTGGCGCTGTGCCCCTCTTTTCTGTCTGTCTGTGGAACGACCTCCAACGTCTCAAATAACCGCCAAGCGTGACGGCGAAGGAGAGTCAAACCGTAACAACGCGTCACATCGGTATCACACAGCTTCGTCTTTTTACCGCCAAGGTTTTGGTCACCTGACCTCATCTCAACACCTTAATGCAGTTCAGGTTCAGGGTCAAAGGTCAGTGTACAAACTCTGGAGCATGCTCAGTCCTCTTCAGCGAGTTCT